TGCCGCTAGGAGAATTCAGCAGAACGAACTCTGAGCGCACGCCGAGGCAAGCATTCCTTGATGCGAAACACGGTGGTGCCGGCGAAGTTGGTGAACATCACCCAGCAATTTCTAGGGTGTCTGGTAGATTTATCTACAGATACTTGGGGTTATAAACCAACTTATAATTGGGCACCACCAATACTTGGAATGGCTGGAATGGATGGTGTGAATTTTCCTCATCCTCCCAAGATGTATAAAAAAACAACCGCTCTGCAGAAAGATGCAGAAAAGTTTTTAGGCGCGCTGAAAACGCGTGGTAAATGTGATACTAGTTGGTGGGTTGAACCCCTCTGAAAAATATGAAAGTCAGTTGGGATGATTCTTCCCAACATATGGAAAAATAAAAGCCATGTTCCAAACCACCAACCAGGATAAGTACTTCTCCTTGAATGGAGGGGAGTTAAAGGGGAGTTGCTATGTGTCACCGAGCAAAATCCTCCTTGTTCGAAGGGTGAATCATCCTATTTGGACATATTTGGACAATGATGTTCTGCCATGTTGACGTCCATTGACCTATTGGTTGCTTGGGATAGTCCCTCTAGTCATGAAACTACCTTCAGAACAAGGACATATGTTATCATCCAAGGTTGGGATGGATGTTGAGTTGTATACCATGGTGGAGTGAGCGGGTTGGAAACGGAACAACACCAAATTGAAAGGGGCGATTGTTCTGAGATTTGTGAAGCATTCTTATCTACCACCTAGCAAATTATCCAAGGGTTGAAAGGGAGTTTCATTGCAGCTGAATGGTGTGTTGCAAGGAATTGGCTAACGGACGTGTTGCAAGGAATTGGCTAAGGGACGTGTTGCAACATCTTGCCGGGTAGAACCCAATGATGTTGTGGACTCAAAGTTTTGGTTCCTCAGTGCCACAGCCACAGGGCCCCCCTTTTTCTGGCCTCTCAAAATGGGTTTGTTAATCAACTCCATATATTTTCCCCATTATATCCCTGTTACCCTCTGGTTATTTAACATAGCCATGGTATAGATGGCCCATAGAAATAGATGGTTTACCGAACTTAATAGCATGGTGGATCTTTCCATTTCGCTATGTTAGTCATAATCAGATGGTATATCCCCTTACATAATCCATTTAATTCCCATGAAATAATCCATAAATATAGATCATCATAGTATATTACAATCTTTATTTTGTTGGCAAAAATATGGCTTCAGTTCTCCTGGTTCTTATCCGCGAGAACATCTTCCCATATCTTCCATCCCACATCGCCACGTATCCATTCCGCCTGTTCCAAGGCCATGGTCGAAATCTCGTCCCAGCGACTAGCAGGAATCTGCTCTGTGCGACCCACCAGGTCTTGGCGTAGCCTTGACGAAAAGGCGATGGCAGCGAAGGGTTGATGTAAGCTGGTTTATAACATTAAAATACCTATAATATATATATATATATGTACCATTGCAACCCAAGAACCCATGATACTATATTATGTATATAGAATAGAAACCCAAAAAGAACAACTATAACCCATATAATACTATAGAAACCCAAAATGGAAGACTAACCCATATATATATAATACTATTACATATATATATATGGTATAGCAACCCAAAAAGGACTGACTATTAGTCTACTATATATGACTATATAGAAAAGTGTGAAATACCTGGACATATGTATTAAATATAAAAATTGACCACCTGGAAACCCTTTTCTTTTCTTGGGGGTATGGCTATATATATATAAGGGGTTTATACAGGTTTACAGCTATCATGACTCATGACTCTATAACAATAGAAGGGGAATCTGGGATGTCAAGCTCTGGTCATTGCTTACAGTGTGCTCTAGCTGGAACTGACCTGGAGGGCTCAATCCTCCTTTTGGGTGCCAAATGTCGTGATGCGCTTAGCCTATTTTCCAAAAATTTTGGAGGAGTATTTGGAAGGTTTGACACATCAAACATGATTTTTCACAATCTTGAACATGTGAGCCATGGTCAATACTCACTATATGGTTGATGGTCATCTTCTATTAATGGTTATTAACCATGAGTATTGACCATAGCTCATGTGGGTTGAACACCATCTCGCGCATCAAAGACGACTGGAGACAGTCGGAATTTCCCCCGCAACAAGGTGGCCAAGGTGCACATGCCCATCAGCTTCACAGGTGGACCCAGAATTGTCTAATAGGAACCTCCGTTCGTTCACCGATGAACAAGGGGCGATCCGCTGAGGCCGAAGTTACGGTTTAACGGATGGAAATATCAAGGAATATCAAGATGATTTCTGATTTCAATAACAATTGTGTATAGTAAACATCTTAAATATATTAATATAATATTACCCACAGACACCGTGTGTTGCCCAGACCCACAACTGACACGTTCGATGTTGTTAGATGATGATGATGATGATGATGATGATGATGGTGATGATGATGATGATGATGCGTCTGGCCGTAATATTATATACGCACCATGATACTGGAAATCCACAGATGGTCAGAGACAGACAATGAACATGAAATCGAATGGTGTTATGGTATCGCTGAAACTGCCCGAGTCAAGTAAGGCCTTGGAGTGAGCCTTTTAAGCCAGGAAACCTCGAAAAGTAAAGTATCAGTAAAATATATAGTAACCCCCAAAAGATAAAAAAGAAGTTCATCACTCTTTTGCTATGTGGTTCTTCCGTCTGGAGGGTCTATCAACCCAGCAACACTCGCAAGGCAATCTGCGACGCTTCTTCTGCCTTGGGACTGGGATTTGGCCACCAGAAATGGTGATTTACCATCTGGTAGTCAAAACTGTCAATTGAAAAAATCCTATAAATGGAGGTATGAATGGGAAAATCAACTCTAGTCATGCAAGATTTTCCAGTTGATTACTGGAGCCATTAGAGATGGACATGAGTTTGTCCGGAAGTGGATGGTGCCCAATTTATGGCAGTTTTCTGCACATTTCATGGGGAACATGATTTTCTCCTTGTTCTTTTCCGGTTTTTCCCAAACTGTTTGGTCAAACCCCATGGGTGTCGGTCAGAGAAGCTAAAAATTGCCACCAATTTGAAGCTACTGACTCACACTCAACCAAGCCCAAGGACTCCACAAAGTTTGGTCATGCTCAGTATGAAACTAAAGTAAACTAGGTCACGCCGTGGCCGGTGGCCTGTGGGCGGCGGCGTCAGCGTCATTTTCCACACTCAAGCACGCCACTTGCGCAGCTTTCCAAGCTCCTGGCACATTTGCGTCGGTGTGAACTTTTCGTTCACATTCAGATTGCGACGCCAGAGCCATTGAAACGTCTTCTCCTTCAGGTGAGGATTGACTACGCCATGTCCTTTGGACGTTTTTTTGATATTCAATTGCTTTGGGAGCCATTTTTTCAAAATTCCCCAAGCTCTGTCAAGACACTGGGTGCCTCCAACTTTGCTAAGACCCCTCTTGGGTGCTTTCTTCAAATTTACTGCGAACTGTTTTGCCTGATGATTCACCTGCACCAAAGTCATGCCCATTTGTCAACGTAGCATCATGTTGCATCATCAAGGTCGTCCCAGTTGGTGGAACATGCGTTGACAACGTAGTATATATCAAGGACGTGGTCGTGAGGACGTTAATATCCCACCCCACCCCACCCCAACATACTGTCAACGTAGCATCATGTTGCATCATCAAGGTCGTCCCAGTTGGTGGAACATGCATTGACAACGTAGTATATATCAAGGACGTGGTCGTGAGGACGTTAATATCCCACCACACCCCACCCCACCCCACCCCACCCCACCCGACATATATATATAACGCAAAAATGTGCCAGAACACACAGGCCACCCGTCACGGCGTGAGCAACTACCCTGTGGTGTCATCAAACATTGATGGTTGGCAATGGGGCATAGCTCCATAAATACTATAAATTGCTACTATATTTCAATGGGAACCACGTGTCTATCAATGGGGGATTTTGCAGCAAACCATGTTTGACTATCTGTATATCCACATGGGTGCCAGTTTCGTCCCGGGGTGGAGATGTATTTGTGTTATAAATATCGATCCCCATTGCAGTTACGGGAGTTCTGGGGACCCCTGATTCTAAGACCCCAACGTCAGGTGCCAATGTGCACTTCTACAAAATCAGGCTCTGCTTTCCAGAGTAGGATCTTGCATACTACATAATCAGGAACCTTCTTCAGTTGAAAGTTCTGATTTGTTTTAACGAGGCACATTCATGCATGATTAAAAAAAATCCAAACGTGTAAATGCCTCAATGATCATCACTTGCGATGTGCAACTTCAAACGATGCTGGTGAGGTTTGTGTTGAGTCGAATCTGTAGATATTGTTTGTTTTTATTTTGCAGCAGCATGTTTTTTTGTTTGTTGTTTCACAAGGTTTACAAGTCCCTCCGAGGTCCCAAGTGCCTGTTTTTGACTTTGTAGCATGAGTCTATTTACAAGTTTTACAAGTCCCTTCAAGTCCCTCCAAAGTCCCTACTGTAGTGTCTGTTTTCGATTCTGTAGCATGAGTTTGTTTACAAGTTTTACAAGTCCCTCCAAAGTCCCTAGTTTCTGCTTTTGACTTTGTAAGATGAGTTTGTTTCCAGTTTTACACGTCCCTCCAAAGTCCCAAGTGCCTATCTTTGATTGTGTACGGAGCATTAATTGTTTCAACAAGCTTTACAAGTCTCACTAAAGTTCCAAGATGTCCCAAGTGTCCGTTTTGGATGTTGTAGCCTTTTTCTCATATGTTCTCTACAAAATCAAACTCTCTAGGTTTTCTTCAGATAAGTCGCTCTCAAAACTCAATGTCTTACCTATTCACAAGTGGGCCCCCTACATCTGCTCTACAAAGTCAGGCTCTAAGATCTCAACGCAAAACCGTGTTTTTTTTGAACGATGGATTCCTTAAGATAAGTAGGCCTCTAAAGATTCTTAGGGCAAAAATCTCAGGAATGCTGGGGGCATCTTTAAAATTCCAAAAGCCCAGGACCCTGGAGCTCATAAAATAGAACCTTGATTTTGTAGAGGGCAATCTGTGATTACTTGTTGCAGTTTGATTTTGTAGAGGGTGACACCTTGGTGTGTGTGATTTTGTAGAGGCCACGAGAGGCTACCATATAAACCGTTCCTACTGCAAAGGCTACCCCTAGTATTGAAGACCAAAACAGCCCTGGCACGATAGTTTGGCCAAAGGCATCCAGCATGTGCAACGTTTGAGAAAAGGGGTGTCAGGGAACTGTCCTTTACAGAATCAGGGTTCTGCCCTCTCACCACTACAGAATCAAGATCTAAAGATATGACACCCAGGAGCATGCTTTGACTGCAAAATCAAATATCTTAGGAGTCAACAAGCCTTTTTCTACAAAATCACTCCCCTTAACAAAATGTAAGGTTTTGTGCGCTTTTTGTCGTACGTTGGACGGCTTACTACAATATCAGGAACCTGCAACATGCCCACAATCGATGGGTTTTTACTGGCTTTTGGGGCCCCCTTGGGGGCGATTCTGTACAGGAAACTGCAACCAGGATCTTTTCCATGATCCGTTCATTTCCCATACTATCTGGTTGGTGGTTGACCTACCCCTCTGAAAAATATGACGAATCGTCTGTTGGGATGATGACATTCCCAACTGTTTCTGGAAAGTCATTCAAAATTCCATGGTTCCAGTCCCTACCAACCAGCAGTTGATTTACCCATTCAAAAATGGTGTTGATTTTCCATACAAATCAGATCAAATCACCATTTTCCCATGGTTTTGAAACCACCATAAATTCTCCCATGTCCATTTTGTCGTTGCGACAGTCAACCATCAACTCTCCGCCACGGCACAAGCAAATGCGCCATGGTCCATGAGGCTCCCATGCCTAGAAGCGAAGAAGCTTCAGCCGGGGGGGTCCTGTTATAGCAAGACTGAAATAGATAGAAAAGGTGGAAGCTTGGAAAAGATGGTGAAATGATGGTGAAATCATCATCTACATATCTATACCGTCTATACCATCCAACACATGTTTTTGTCCTATTGCTTGGGGAAATAGGAAGTAAATGTTGAGGAAAGCCAGTTCAACGTGGACAGAACAAGAAGCATCAAAAATAAGAGCATATCATACCGATAAACCATGATGGTTGGTGAATCTACGTACGTCATACAGATATATATATATATACATAGTGTATATGTATATATTATATATATATGTATATATCATACATAGACGAATTAATAGTGATATTCTTATGATAAAGTGCAATGGTACTCACCATCTATTACTGCAGCTGATCACATGTACTCACCATACACCATGGTCACCATGGTTTTTTGATCCGCCTTCCATGGCCTTCACCACTTTGCCCGGGTGGGATCCAGAGAAGCGTGGCTCAACTTCCTTGGCGCGCCACTGTAGGGTGGCGACCCATGGGTGAAACGTGTGACGTAACGGACCCCCTTTCAACATGGCCACACAATCGGATCAATATAAGATCTAATATCTAGGATATATGGTATATCTCCATGTTTAATCGTTCTAAAATTTAACACTTCATTTTACCTGCGAAACTTGCCATCAAAGGGGATGTATGGCAGTGTATGGCCAAAAAACATTGAGGTCCAACCCCATCTCCTGATGCGGGCCATAGCTTCCCATACTAAGCTTGAGGGAAAGTGCCGTTGAGTAGCCATTTTATCAGACCAAAGGCCGAGAGAAAAAACAGATACATTTCTATACTGGATCCAAAGAGGTTCACTAACGGTTCCACCTACCCAACATTTGTCGAATACAAATTCAACTTGAGGCTGAGTACTTTCATGTACTTTCCGCTGGGTATGAGTCAAGTTCTTGGGTACCCAAGAAGGTACCCCTTCCTACTCCGATCCGACCAAGTTGATCCAGTTGATCCCCAAGTCGTCACGAAAAGTGTCCGGCTCGATGGATGTGAATCCCTCGGGCTGATGGTCAACCGAGCACTTCGCCATCACCGCGATCGTTTTTCTACTTTGGATCGACGCTTGGTTTGGACTTTGAGACTCCAAAAATGGCTCGAATCAAGGGTCCAACGGGTCCTTAGGTTTTTGTTTGCCTTTGATCACATCGAAAAAAGAAAGGACCTTCAAAGGTCGGTGATGTTGGGATTTCATGGCCCCAACAAAACCAATCATTTCAGTGACGTCACAGTAAGGTCAGTGAAAGATTGATATATCCAGATATGTGTTCATCATGTATATGTCCCGGATCATGGGATAGTATCAGAATGGTAAGCCTTCCAATCTGACAATAAAACTACTATACTGTTGTGCAAACCCATAACTTTCATGTCTTAGTAGCAAGTACTCGTTGGTCAACTATGTTTTCAACGGCCATGTCCACTGATCCTGTTTCCAACTTCCAAATCTTAAGAAACCTACATATGGACCTCTATCATCATTCATTTTGGTATGAACATGGATAAAACACACCAAGCCCTAGAGGCCCTAGTGATTCGTTTCATTAATGCATCCCTTGTGTCTTGAACATGTTTCTATCCAGAAAGCCAGCCCTCACAGCCAGAAATCCAGGGCCTTGAAGTTTTTGCTGCACCTTAGCATCGGTCAACAAGTGCGGCTTCATGGCTTCCCCCAAAAAAAATCCAGGCGTCCAACCTGACAAAAAGGGAGATCTTCAGGATCCAATAAATTGGAGCTACGTAAACGTACCATATTTCTGGCCATATGAATTGTGGGGATATCCTGTTATATAGGCCTTTTTTTTCGGCCTTATATATGGTAGGTACCTCCAATAAATCGGTTCCTGGCCAGCACGGCCATTGACAACTTTTCGATCTGGGTCATCTGGGTCTGGGGTCCCGAAAAAAGAACGCTTGCATGTTTGGTGGATATTTGGCCCTGAAAACGGGTTTTTTTCCCTGAGTTATGCATTTCAATGTGGAACATGATGATAAACCATCTTAGGCAATTTAGGGTACCACATTTTCAGACCAACCCATTTTTCACTGAACCATCATACTTTGAGGGTGTAGAGAATTGGAGACATATCTACATTAACATCTATTAACATGTACCTCGCCTGTGCCGCACCCCTTTTGCAAGCGGAAATCTGGCACAGCTTGGCCGGCCCTGAAGTTTCCAACGGGACTGTGAGAGGAAGGACTAGTTTCAGGACTTTCGGACAAAAGATCAACAACCCCGTTCTTTTTTTGCAGATCTGGCATTCAGATATCCCAAATGGTGGTATGGTTGGACCAAGGGTTCCCCAGAAGCCCCTGCACATCTTTTTCGGGTAACAAAAATGATCCTTGCTGTAGCCACCTAAACCTGCAATCGGGGACGTGAGCCGCTCTGAAATGCATTGCATCAAAACTGCCCCCACAAACTGGTAATCCAAATTGTGCCACCAAGGTTTTAATGAAGACACATTTGGGGAAGAAAATTTTGCCGCCTGGCGGTTTTGGGTTTTTTTAGGCCGTGGTGCCACCGGTGAAGTTTGTTGTGGAATTTCACGCCAGTTCAAGGGATCAGATCATCATTAAAACTCAGTGGTCATTATGTGGGGAATCCGGGAACGGGAGTCTCCAATCATCGCGATTGTTCGAGAGAACTTCCATGCATTCCCAAAGAAAGTTGTATGAAATGTTGGATAAATTTGGTATTCAAAGGTATGATTTAAGGTCGTTCCTTTAGCTGACCCACCGATCAACTGATCCTCTCACACCACTTGCCACGCCACACGTGAACGAAGAGAGGTGCCAACACTCGTGGGATGGGGTTCTTGAAGATGTTACCTCCCCATATGCGAACCATGGTGCTGGAATATGAATCCCACCATGACCCCATTTTTATGGCCCAGTTTTGTAGGTGAATATACTAGCGCCATGGAGCATATGGCTTATGATTCAAGTGTTTGTCATATTTTTGTCCAAGAGAGCACAAGTTTGACCATCCGCACAGAAGCCCTTGGGGATATGTTGAAAGAACTGTTGACCTTCCAAACATAAGCCGCTGACGGTTTCGATCCCATGAAAAAATGATTGGTTCTGCAATCATCATCCCAAACAAGTGAAAATGAATAGTTTTGAAACGGCCAAGCGAATGAAGGTTGAAAGTTGAAAGGTTCTTCGCTGCAACATGAACCATGAAAAATACCCCCTATCCCTTTGTTATAATGATTCCCTCATAAACCAGTGAGTAGAGCTCCCAATACTAACCCATCAACAAGGGTATGTTCATGTCCCTACCATGCCTGGGCAACTCATTTTGATCCATGTCAACTTTCAAGGGAGGCACCTCTGCCGGTGAAAATCCACCATGGCCAATTGACCAGTGGGGCAACGGCTGATTTCACGACGGAACGGGCGACCCAAAAACTGCTCAGAGTCGGCTTGCCCCGACCTCCATGAGCCAAGAACAGAGGGGCCGGTTTGGTATCTTATCTATATAATTACCGATATACCTATTGGTTGCTGAATAGGGGGAACCCTCTATTAATCAACATATTTAACCAATCACTGGGGACGGTCTAAGTCTATGCCCCAAAATTGCCATTGGGAGAGGAAAAAATGATGAGAAGCCCCTGGAATACAACTGTACCCACACTCGATCCGTTGCACACGTGGACGTGGATGTGTCTCGTTTCCTGATTCGCTGTTTCAAGAGAAACCGCAGTAACCCTGACGACATGGTGGCATGGACTTTGCTACAAAGTGATCCTCCTGTGTAACAAACAATGTATGCGTTCATTGATATTGATTGAAAACATCTCAATCAATCAAGTTCCAAACTCTAGACAGAAATTGCACTGTCACTGATGATAGGAATGTAAGCAACCGCAAAGGATAATGCCATGGTCAAAGGAGCGGGCCGAACCCACAGGTGAAAGGATACCACCCTTGTACCTTGACATGGCACTGTGATACTTTGATGGGCGATAGAGTTTGTTTACTCATTAGTGTCCCCCTTTAGACACGACTATCCCATCAAGAAATATTTCTGGAAAAAAAAACAAATCCTGATTGCTGGTTTTAACCATCTTGAAAAATACGAGTTCGTCAATGGGGTTGGGACTATCCCATATATGAAATGGAAAATAAAATTCATGTTTGAAACCACCAACCAGCCATTCCTAAAGGCAATCATCCTCCGGCTCCAAGATCTGCAAAAAACCATTCGGTTCTGGCCTTCAAAATCTGATTCGAAGCTTCAAACAATCAATCCCTGGGACTTTGATGACTTTGGTACATACTTCCTCTGGTTTACTTCAGGCATTTTCCGGCCAACCACGTTTAAATTTGAGTACCAGAAGCTACTGTCTCGATGATCCAAAAAAAACTTCGGAAGATAGCTGTTACGATGGGTATGTTTGTCGCTACATCTGGGTTTGTCTGAACATATGCTACCGCCAAATTTGATGGATTAGAAGATAAGTTATAACCATTATAATGTGGACATAGGTATAATCATAATGGTTATAATGGTTACTACCAAGATAAGTTACAACCAAATGGTTATAATCATCATTGTTCCTATCATTATAGCCATTTGTAACCATTTGGGCGGGTATACCCCCATTTTCAGATCCATCCGGACAATCCTTGACTAATTTCCATAGTGGATGATGGTTTCGCCCAATATATTGGATAGTATAACACAATCATCAACCTACAGTGGTTTTGAACATTGCTCATCTGAACTCTGATGGGAATGGGTGAGAATTGGAGACCCCAAAAAATGGAGAGTCTATACATATGGTAATTTCAGGATCCAATTTATGGAGCTACTGTAAACCATATATATATAATATCATATATATAAGGCCATATATATAGTGGGGATATTCACTTCCATAGGCCAAAAATATATGGAATCGCTACCTCCAATTTGCTAATCGGTTCCATATTTCTTGGTCGCATGGCGTGACGATCCAGTCATCGGTTATCCATGGGATTCAGCAGCCATGGATCAACGATTTGGATCAACCCGGCCTGGTCAACAAAAACGAACAGTGTGCGTGCACTTGAAGCCATGGCCCAGTCGAAATGTTGTGGATTTATATACCCTTTAAAAAAATAAGGTGGATCTTTCCATATAGTTACGTAAACGTTTATCAGAGGGTAAAACTATTGTAATCTGGTTGGTGGTATACCTACCAACCCCTTCTGAAAAATGATGGAGTGAAAGTCAGTTGGGATGATGACATTCCATTCCCAACTGTTTCTGGAAAGTCATAAAAAAAAAATCCATGGTTCCAGTCACCACCAAACAGATTGCAATCCCCTATCTTATTGGGTACCCTCTGGTAATTTAACATTGGAAAATCACCATGTTTAATGGGAAAATCCACTATTTCTATGGCCATTTTCAATAGCAAACTGTTTTTTAAGCCCATTTGGGGATGATTTCCCTTACTAACCATGATTCCCAGTGAGGTCGAACAGTGAGGTCCTTATAATTTACCCAGGTAGTCTCCGCGAAGTCATCAGCAACACCAGGCGCGCCTCATCCAGCATAGTGGACAAAGCCGGAGGACTCGGCGTTGAAAAATCGCTGGATAAAACGCACGGGGGGTCACCGCCGCTGGGTTTCTAAAAAGCTGGACTTGAATCTTTTGTGTTTTAAATGGTAAGTTATATATATATATTACAGTTAGATGAAGTTAGATCGGTTCTAGATATGGGTTTACAATATGGTTTACATGTATAAACCAAGTATGGATGTGTATGATATATATATATATATATATATATCATATATCTATATGGTTGGGATCTGTTAGATGGCTCACTGTCATACTTATAAACATCGAAGCCACAAACATAGCGGGGTGCCCCGAAAAACGACTTGCACGACTTTCATTTCAGCAACGAATCGAGTCAACACGGAAGCTGGAAAAATCCCAACTGATTCTCTTGTTGGATCTTGATTCACTTGATTCTTTGAGTAAAATTTGGAAGTGTCAGAAATAAAATTGGGAAGTCTCAGTTAAATCAATTTGACTCAATTTTTGAAGGACTTTCCAGGAGGCATTTTTCCTCAGTCACTGCACAGCTTTCCAAATCTGGGCACGACACCGCCGTAAAGACACAATGCTTTCGCAGCTGCCGTTTCGTCGGGCTGCTACTTCCTGGCGCTCTGGCACGACATGGGAAATTCGCGCCACCCAGTCCTGATCTGTTGACAGATTCATGGCCTTCGAAGCAAAGTAGAAAAATATATACCCTCTGGTTATGACTAACATAACCATGGTTTTTCGATGGCCCATAGAAATAGATGGTTTACCGAACTGAAAAATGGTGATTTTCCATGGCTATGTGAAATAACCAGATGGTAATCCCATCGCCTAATATCAAAGTCGAATACGGTGGGCCTCCAAAATAAACAAATCCAGTACGAAACCAGGATTTCCAGTGGGTTATTTTTGGTCGGGAGAAGGGATTGCTAACTATCACTTGTAGCCGGCCATGTGGCCGCCAGGTGTCGTATTCAAATGGGTGTCCGCCCACGGCAAGTTCAACCGATAGCCCTCAGAATCTCCCAGTTGTAGGGCCATCTATTAGTTCTCACCCCACGTTTCTTTCAAAAATCCGAAAAACCAACAGGAAACTCACGGTGACTGTGGGAAGATTCCCCCTTTTTAATCATCATTTACAGTATTTTACAGTGAGGTCAAGGTGAGATTCTAATCCATGTAGTTCTATCGCATTCAGTTGCTTTTCTCACTTAAAATGAATGGCTACTCCAAAATCCAGCGGTTTAGCAATCAGCTTCCACATCAACATTCGTGTCTGGACAAATTCAATTTGCAAATCCATGCTCTCTACGTATACAGATATGTCCTACCTACTGCATTTCTACGCCCGTCTATCCCCCGTCAGAATATCATATGGTTGTGTATTTATAATCTCTGTACTCTGTATAAATATATATATACAACTGAATATGCTCCATCACGTCCCCCTTACAACGTATATGATATATGGTAAGATCCACCATTTTATAGCTGGGTAAATCCACTATTTCTATGGTCATTTTCCATTTTCCATTGCTATGTTAGTTTACCAGAGGGTATATCCCAGTAAATCCCATTAGATCCCATTAAGTCACCATTAAAACCCATTAAATCCCATATATATATATATGGGTAAATTGTAATATATATTATATATCCCCATGATGCAAAAATGGTGGACTGGGGGCAGCTCCCCACCTGCTTTACCTTCATCCACACACCTTTGCTCAGCCGCGGCCAACCTGGCCGAAGACGTTTCCAGGGGAAACAAAAAGTGCTGGGTGGTGTCAAAATTTCTCAAAAGTAGCGTATGTATATGTATATATATTATATCATATCATATTATATTATATTACATTAGATTATATATTATGTATTATATATTATATATTGTATATTGTATATTATATATTGTATATTATATATTGTATATTATATATTATACTACATTATACCATATTATAACATATGTATATATTTTATGAAATATAATATACATATATATATAATACAACATATATAATATATAGTGCGACTATAATCAATTGTATATACAATTACAGTACATTATATGGATACAGAGAGCGAGAGAGAGGACGATGTTTAGATGTTGACAGAACTGAAGTTGGTAGTCACTTGTGTATATTCCCAAGACGTTCAAGTTACAAGGGCTCATAATCCACTTCCCAACCATGTAGCAACAGCAATTCTGGCAACATCAAAGAATATCATACATTCAGCTGGAACAAAGATGACAAGTGTAGCAACCCCATTTTTTTGGGGGGGTACTATAGATTGAAACCATCAAACCGGAAAGCCAGAGAGATGTGGCTTTTGATTTTGATGTCGACCATAGGTCTGGCATTCTTCACGATTCCCCTCATGAGTCAAGTCATGAAAAACATATGGAGGGTTCCATAAATGGGGGTATCCCAAAATGGTTGGTTTATAGTGGAAAATCCCATTAAAATGGATGATTTCGAGGTACCCCCATTTCAGGAAAGCTCCATATTCATATCATTAAATCCCATTCAGTTAAACTTGTATCCCATTGGATATAGTGGGTTTATCCATATAAAATATCCATATAAAAATCTCATGACTCACATCTTTCAACCTAAAAACCACTGGGTCCATGTCGGGTCCAACTCACAACTTCAAACCCACCTTGGCAGCGATGGATTGGAACTCAGCAGGATGCGAGTCATCTCGGGCACCTTGGCAGAACGTGGGATGAACAGGTAACAGGATTTGTTCATCGGATTTTACCATCTGGTTATGACTAACATAGCCATGGAAAGATCCACCATTTTTCAGTTCGGTAAACCATCTATTTCTATGGGCCATCGAAAAACCATGGCTATGTTAGTCATAACCAGAGGGTAATAGCAACAATAAGAAAATGAAGTGGGATTTTCCATATCAACAATGTTGGATAATTTTAGTGGGATTTAAATAGCAATAAAATAGGATAGTCATTGATTATCATAATTATGGGATGTTCTATATGAACAATAGGATAATTATGGGGTTTACATAGCAACAATAGGATAATTATGGTATGTTCCATATCCGAAAATGGGAAAGAAGCGATCATGATAGTGGTAGAATGAGCCCCCATTATTTGGGATAGGGATTTTACCCTGGGTAAACTAACATAGATGTGGAAAATCCCTGGGATAAGGAGCAAAAAAAAAAGATGGGTTGTCCACATCGAACTGTTGGTTTACCATTTCGGTTACCAGAGGGATATTTCGGTGTGTCCGGAAATGGGAAATAAAATACCATGGAAAATACCCGAAGATGGCCATTGAAAAATTGGCGAAATATGACCAAATGATCATGAAGCATTGAAATTTTGGGGTACCCTATTCTCAAAGTTGAAGCCACCTAGAACGGGGCAATATCTGGGAACCCCTCAAATTGATGTTTGGCTCTATGATCTGAGCTTCACTTTAAATGGCTGGCAGATCATCAAGCGCTATCCTCAGGCTTATGGTTGACCACCCAGTGGTGTCAGTTACAGTAATATTCCCATCGCTGTAGGGGAAGAATAGCACTGTTCAATAATCTTGAAAGGCTCATATGCCAACTAAGATTCGAATAGCATTTGGATGCTCATGCTTATCACATCAATTGATGCACAGTATGTTGATGGTTTAGCATGTCTTTAGCTCTAATGCCCCTTATATCCCTTGTTCATACAAGTAAACGAAGTATTCATGCTAAAACGTTGACTCTCCTTGCGCTGATTTGTAAAATTTGCAGCCCGAAATGTCAACTCTGCGCGGGGCTGACAGGCCCACCCACAAACGTCAAAAACGAACATGTACCCTCTGGTAAACGTTTACATAGCTATGGAAAATCACCATGTTTAATGGGAAAACTCACTATAAATGGCCATTTTCAATAGCTATGTTAAATTACCAGAGGGTAATTTGTTTGAGTTTCCAATCTTCATCAAATAGAAAAAAAGAAACACCAGGGATCATAATTCCTCTTACGGCTGGACATGTAAAATCAAAACCACCAACTAATCATCTTGATTATCTATTGATTATCTATGGTTCTTTCTCTACCAGGGGAATCCTCCCACCAATTGCAATAAATTCGCCTCAATCACAATCTGCCAATGTTGTTCAAGGGATTCTGCTATGGCGAAGGCAGTTCCATACCCCCTGCTCAAATCACAATGTTGGCTGGTTAAAAACGAATTTTGCCAGTCTAAATCCCCTTTGGCAAACAAATTCCCATCTTGGCTTGCCAATTTTGACCCCAAAAAAAACCAATGTGTTTCGCCCTGAACGAGTCCAGGTCTGGTCCAGCTGTCCCACCTCAATACCACGTTTTCGCTTCTCATCCGCACGTCTCGAAGCGGTCCTGCCGCTGCCGCTCTCTCTTCCACTGATTTCACCATTTCTGCTGGTTGTCAAAAAGAATGGGCATCACTAGCAAAAAACGACGACAATTGGGATGGTTTTATGGTTTACTACTACTAGAAATGGTTCAAATATGTACTTTTTGATGGGTCTTAAACGCTGACCCTTCCCTTCAGTTGAACATCACCCAAGCAATGGGGAATATGTGGTCAACCATGTCCAAGAATCGTCAGGTCTTTCAAGTTGCAAAAAACAGACATCTACCAAACAGTGAAGATCCCAGTTGTCCCGGACAGAAACATTAGAAGAAGTCAAGTCAAATGAGCATTTTTACATGAATCAACAAAAATAGATCTTCAATAAATCGCCAAATCAAACACCAAATGCTGTGAAACAGCTGGTCCCAAGAATTGAAGCGGCCTATGCTGGCTATTTTGCAGGTGAGCCGCTCAGGAAGATTCAGCCTACTAGGACCTGTGATGGCTTCATGATCCTCAACCAGTTATCCCATCATTGGCCATTTCACAAAATTTGACCAGTGCCCCAGAAATACCTTGTGGTTGATGGTCGTATGGGATTTTCCAAACTGGTTTGAGTGGGCGTTTGGGGGAAGAATATGTATCATACCAATGTGAACCGTTATGAAAGTGAACTGGGCAGTGCTCCGACCCATCTTCTTGGCTAAAAAAACTTACAGACTTTTATTCCCAGCCAACCCTTTACCATTATATATATTATATACCTTATAATTCACCATTTACTGGTACACTGGTTTATATAACTCCAACAACTGTGGTTTATGATACTTATAACATCTTATAACTATAGTTATTGGGCTTTATGAACTAGCGAACTAGCATCACTGGGGCCCCACATGGCATCACCACTGTGCCACTGATTAATATCTATGATGCATCCATGAAACAGCTTGGGCACACAGCGCCCCTCGTTTCGGTTGTTCACGGCGCCTGGTTTCTTGCCGGCACGCCGCGAATTTCTTAATGCTGGGACGCTGTTGGAGCTCATCCTGAGTCGCCGGAAAGGCGCGATGTTTCCATGGGAGATCCCCTTAAAATAGTTGCTTTGTAATGCAAAATCTATGAAGATGGATGATTTGGGGTAATTCGCCTCATTTTAGGACATCCACTTTTTTTTGGATGTTGATTTCCCATCAAAGAGAAATTCACCTTCATCACCATGATCTGGGCAGGGATCAAAGTCCCTTCCCAGCTGGATACAGCTGGAGTTTCCCATGGATGGTCGACATCGTTTTCTTCACCGGAGAGTATCTCCTGATTTCATCATTCAGAGGTATCTACCCTCTGGTTATTTAACATAGCCATGGAAAATCACCATTTCTAACAGGTAAACCATCTATAAATGGGCCATCTATACCATGGCTATGTTAGTCATAACCAGAGGGTAGTTTCATTGACATTAGTTTTAGTATTATCTAATGGATACAGCTGTATCTCCCTTTATTTCTTTTCGAAGATTTCCTGCTTGGACACCTGCAACGTATCCTGCTGGCGGTATCCTGCAACGTATCCTCCCGTGTCAAGGATCTGCTATGGGCATCCACATCATAGGATCAATCGAAGTGGGCGTCTCTACCTTGGCAAATCGAGGGCCTAACCTTGGCCAGGGTTTTGGTTCAGCGACTTTCATTGGATTTCTTTGAGGATCTAGAGTCAAAAAATATCTTGAAAAAGTATATAGTCTACATTTTTCATAGTTTACATAGTCCATGGTCCTGGTTTTTCTCTTTGTCTTTGTAGCAACAAGTGTTGCTTTAGGAAGCTACAGGTGTTCCCGTTCACTCAGACCTGGTGAGACCAGGAGAATTCCGACGATCCGGAGGATTCGATCCCTGGCAGTTTTTTTGAGGTGCCAAGTAGCTTTCAGGCCCAAAAGATATTATACATATATATAATATAATATATATACATTATATTATATATAACCAAACGATTCACAATACACAACGGGATACCCGGGGACAAAGTCACAACGAACCTAAGGCGCCAAGTCACGATTGGATCCTTGTCATCGTTGGGATTCCAATTCACCACCGGATTGCCCCAGCCTCAGCACGACGATCTCTGGTTGGTGGGTTCAACCTACCTGTTAATAATGGTTAATGATGATGGTTAATGTTTGTAATGGTTAATATACTGTTAATATGGTTAATATGGATTATAATATGGTTAAGAAATGTGGTTAATGTACTGTTAATTTTATGGTTAATGATGATGATTATTATTATATGGTTAATGATGGTTAATAGTAATTACTGGTTGGTGGTATACCTACCTACCCCTCTGATTCATGATGGACTTCGTCAGTTGGGATGATGACATTCCCAATATATGGAAAGTCATACAATTCCATGGTTCCAGTCACCACCAACCAGATCTTTTGATGCATGACATTGCGCAGCTGAGGTCCCTAAAAAACAGCTGCCCTTCAATCAGGATCCTAATCTCTTTGCATCCAACGGGACACCCAACCATTGGTTTCCCTGCACTCAGCGCCACGGGTGCATCTTTAGTCTCCAAGTTTGTGGACGAAGCCCGTGGAAAGACGACGAATTTTTGGACCGAACACTCCATGACTCACCACGGATGGTAATTCCAGCCAGTTACCCTCTCGAACATGGCAGAGGAAACCCCGATTTCCAATGGGAAGATCATGTCAAAATATTCAAAATGGATATAGATGGGGGGTTGTCCATTGCCAGGTCTGTTTTGCTGAGGGGTAGCGGTTTGGGTAGCCATGGACCTACTCACCATGGTTGCAAACCACTCGCAGCAATCTCATCCCGGATCAATGATCCCCGATTACTTAGGGGTGTTAGTAACGGGGTTAACCAAAAAATATCCAAAAAATAACTGTTATTACAATTACAATGGCATGAAAATGTTCAAACATCTAAACCACAGGTCAACATTCATCCAGGCTTGCCATTACCAGCTTTGCCCGACATTCATCCCAGGTGCTGGTAATGATACAGCGACTCTTGTCGGGATAGTCCAAGGGTATTCGTACCTGGTCGAAGTCCAAGACTTAGGACTTTCTTGTTGAGGGGACCTGCTCAAAGTGAAGTGCCTTCCGGCTTTGGTTCATCATGCCACCCAAATTTTCCAGAGAACAAAAAGAACAAAGTCCACTGGGTCAAAAGTCTCATTTTCATTCATTTTCACCATGAACATCCGGAATCAGCGCCGCAAGCTTTTTTGGTGTCAGCTGGCTGTCGGAGGCTCCTCATGCAGATGTCACCCAGCTGAACGGAAGACATTTTGGACATTACACGGCAAAATTGGATACGTTTACAGTAATCCTGGAAATGTGTTGTTGCGAGAATCTAAAAAAATATGTTGATACATGTTGAGGCAAGTTCCCCCCAAAAAAAAGTTGTACACACTTTTTAGGATGATTCCCTTGGCCACGGGGGTCCCAACCTTTTATTCCCCCAAGTATTGAGATAATGAGTCAAGGATTGGGTCGTCAACCTTGGAACCCAATAGATGTTGCTGTCCAGCCTAATATCTAATAGATTAGCCCCAGATCAGAAAACTCGCGAGGGCTGTCGCAATCCCCGGCAGATCTGACTTTTCGATGGAATGGCATTCCATATGGTCTGGTTCAACCCTACAAAGTGATGGCTCAATCCCAATAGTTCAATGTTGCTTGTTCAATCCCAATTATTTGCTACGCATCTGTTTGGCTTCAAAAATCAAAAGGTCTCACAGAAACTCCAGAAGTTTCATCATATCCACTCCTTTTACCCACCCCGTACCCTCCTTTCTTGCAATTCAACAAATCACTCAGTTTGGGGATGTCAACCCCATGGCAGAATAGGAGTCAGGGATCGTCATCCGCAAAATGCCGTGGCAGTGGAGAACATTTTTGGCTAACCTGTTTTTCCCTATTGCCTTTGACGTACCCCAAATACTAAAATCTAGGGTCCATTTTAAATGTTAGCAAGTTTGAAGTTGGCCAATTTGATTCTTTATCGATTCCGTTTAGAAAACAGTTTTGTTCAATATGAAGGTTCCATTTGCGGGGGTTCACCCCTCAATAATAAAAACTAGTCAACACCGGGGTGTTTTTTATTAGGGTCTGTCCTTTAAAATCAAAAATTTAAGTTTTTTTAAGGTTTATAGTTTAATATTAGGGGAAAGCTGCGAAATCCAATGTTTGGCCATATATTTGTTTACTGTAGATTTAAAAAGGGAATTTGATCAATTTTGAAATCGAAAAGTTAGTTTTTTATTGACAGCTTTAAATTTACGTAGTATTAGTGGGAAGCTTCGCACCCTAATACTAAATAATACCACCCTAATATAAAAAAAACTCCCCCAGGCGTCTATCATTCGGGGGGTTCCCCGTTCAGTAGTAGGGGAGGAATTATATATATATTATTATATTATATATATAAAATGTGTACTCCCTTGTTTGGTAACCACTGTGGTCTTGGGCTTGGGGCTGTAAAATGTCATAACCGTTATCATAACCACGCAAAAAATCAATGGATTGGTTTAAGGGAAAATCTTAACCGGAAACCATAGATTTTCCCATTAAATATGGGGCTTTCCGGTTAAAATTTTCCCTTAAACCAATCCAGTGAAAAAAATCATCTATATCTGCCAATGAATATGGCCCTACCAGATCTGTCCTCCAAGCCGCACAGCCTTCTCAGCTCTGCCAACTCCTCATTCCTCAGGCGACCTGGCACTGGCAGCAGCATCGCTGAATATAACTGGTTGGTGGTATACCTACCCTCCTTTGAAAAATATATGGTTAATTTATATGTGGTTAATATACTGTTAATTTCATGGTTAATGATGATGATTATTATATGGTTAATGATGGTCCCACGTTCACTTAGGACGAAATTTTTAAGGTCACTTACGCCGAAAATGACCCCCACACATTTTCGACATCACTTGCGACGAAAAACCTCTGATTACCTATAAATTTCCACGAAATTACGCTACCACGAAATGCAAAAAAACGATCAACACTTCATCTCTCATTCATGTTCCAGTGGGGTGGGTGGGTGGGTTGGTGGGGGGGGTGGGGGGGTTGGGGGGGGTGGGGGAGGCGCGGGGGGTGGGGTGGGGTGGGGTGGGATGATAACGTTCATGTTCCTATGCACACACAGGCACAGCAACCTCATCATCTTTCTTGCTGTTGGGAAGAGACAGGCACAGCTCTTTCATGATCAGTTACCGGTGGTGTGGGGTGACTTACTAAGGTTCATGTTCCTATGCCTGCACACGCACAGCAACCTCATCATCTTTCTTGCTGTAGAGCACTTACACGCACTGCTCTTTCATGATCAGTTACCCGTGGGGTGGGGGGGGTGGGGTGGGGTGGGGTGGGATGATAACGTTCATGTTCCTATGCCCACACAGGCACAGCAACCTCATCATCTTTCTTCCCGTAGAGCAGAGACAGGCACAGCTCTTTCATGATCAGTTACCGGTGGGGTGGGGTGAGTTAATAAGGTTCATGTTCCTATGCCTGCACACGCACAGCAACCTCATCATCTTTCTTGCTGTAGAGCACTTACACGCACTGCTCTTTCATGATCAGTTGTTGAACTTGATGTAAGAAGAGCCACGACACCTTTGGGGTTTATATCTTGTTGCACTTGATGTAAGAAGAGCCACGACACCTTTAGAGTTTATATCTTGTTGCACTTGATGTAAGAAGAGCCACGACCCCTTTAGGGTTTATATGTTGTGGCACTTGATATAAGAAGAGCCACGACCCCTTTAGGGTTTATATGTTGTTGCACTTGATATAAGAAGAGCCACGACCCCGTTAGGGGTTTATATGTTCTTGAACTTGATGTAGAGGGAGAGCAACACAGTCGACGTGCAAGCACACAAGCGCCACTTTTATACGGAAATTTACAGGTAAAATTCCGATGCCACTAAAAAGCCACACAAACGACATCAAAAACAACACGCGCAAAAGCGCCACTTTGTACGCAAATTTACAGGTCAAAACCCGACGCCAAGAAAAAAGCGGCACAAGCGACGTCAAAAAAGCAACACGTGAAAACACCATTTTATACGGTAATTTACAGGAAAAATGCCGATACCAACAAAAAAGCGGCACAAGCGACACAAAAAAAAGCGGCACAAGCGACGCAAAAAAAAGCGGCACAAGCGAACGCCTCACCGTT